CTCCTTGAGGGTCCATACGGGTTTTTGGGAGGCACTGGAGCCCAAGAGAGGCAGCGTTGTGGAGATGGGGCTTTGTAAAGCTCCTGCCAGGCATTGGGATCCTGAGACAAACTGCCCGTCCTCTGGATGGTCCAGCAGACCCATCACCTTCAGAGGGGCACTGACATCTGGGCAAAAAGCTCCTCCTGCAGAGGTGAACCACACTCAGACCCTTTTGGATCTCATCTTCTTAAAAGAAATAACCTTGTCCAGGTCACCTTAGTGACCACTTTCTGCAGGAACTTGCATGGCCAGTAACCTGAGACAGGAGCAGGAGAAAGCATCCCATCCCCGCTCCTTCAAACATGGAGATGATAAGGGAAAACGCTCAGATGGATGAAATGCAGGGCAACAGACTCCAACTGCCACCAAGAGAGGATGCTGACATTGTTGGCTACTTGGATATGAAGCAGCTATGGTACCTAGGGTGGTGATAAGCATAGCTGAGGAGGCATTCTCATGGTGCACCTCCTTGTGACACAGCCAAACCTTCCATCAGAAATTTCTTTTGTTTGGAGGCTCCTGATTACCTTTCCCCATTGGGAACCCTTTTTGCAAGTGCTTAGGGAAAAAAAAAAAAAAAAAAAAAAAGAGGCATTTCAATAACGTGATTTTTTTCCAGGTGTTTTTCCCTGCACTTGCGTAATTCAAAAGTATTGGACCAGAGAGACAGACAGACAGACACTGTCTGCAGGCATGGCAACAAATAAATGTGACTACTTTTCAACAGCCGCCCACTGGAATAAGTGCCTGTCTTGCAGTTATTTCAGATCAAAATTGCTCCCTTCATTTCCTTCTCTTTAAAAGCCAGAGAAATTATCACTCTTAAGGAAATAGCACCGCGACATTCCAGCAGCATTAGGCTCTGCTGGCATTGTGGCCAAGGAAGCCCACATTTGCCATTTTTCCCAGACTGTGCCCTGCTGCCTCAGCAGGAGGAGCTGGTGCAGTGCAGGGTGATGGAGAGGACTGAGATAGAATCATAGAAACATAGAAACAGAATGGTTTGGGTTAGAAGGAACCTTAAAGCCCACCCAGTGCCACCCCCCACCATGGGCAGGGACACCTCCCACCAGCCCAGGTTGCCCAAAGCCTCATCCAGCCTGGCCTTGAACCCCTCCAGGAATGGGGCATCCACAGCTTCTCTGGGCAACCTGGGCCACTGCCTCACCACCCGCACAGTGAAAAATTCCTTTCTAGTATCTCATCTAAATCTGCCCTCTTTCAGCTTATAACCATCACCCCTTGTCCTCTCACTACACTCCCTGATAAAGAGTGTTTCTCAGGATTACAAACCCCTCATGGCTGGGTACAGCTTTATCCATGTGTGAATACATATATGCATACACATATGTGTGTGTATATATATAGCACCCAACATGGAAGCATCTATCAATTATTAGCTCAGAAAGTGCAGCAATGATGCTCTTGCCCTGTTAGGATGGCCCAGAGTTGGCTTTGAAACCCTCAGACAGCAAAATCTCCTGGGTTTGCCCAGCCCACCACTGATAAAACCATTTGCCCCAGTACCAGCAAGGGCCAGAAGCAGTTCTTTACCAACAATGACTCCCCAAAGCGGTGTGGTCTTTTGTTTTGGACGCAGTCAGAGGTTCAGGCATGGAGACCTTGGGAGGGGTTGGAGGCAGGGGACAGCGCAGAGCCCCGCACACCGGAGGGGTGGAAGGAGGGGTCGGCCCCCAGCGTCCCACTCCCCCTCACCCCCGCATCGCCCTCTCCCTGTCGCCTTACCTGGTCGCTCTCGTACAGGGCCTGGAGTGGGCTGCGACCGGCCTTCCCCTGCCAGGTGGATCTCATAACCCTCTCTTCTGCGGCTGGAAAAGGAGCAAGAAAAATCAGAGGGGCTGGGAGGGCTGGTCCCCTCACCCCCCTGGAGATGCCCCAGTTGGGATGAGGCAACGTCCCCCAAGAAGAGACAAATCCCTTTGGCTCTGGGAGAAGATCCCCCTTATTTTTAACAAAACCTGCAGTTAGGGTTCAAAAGGTCCAGACCTAACCTTTAAACAAATAAAAGACCATAAATAGAGACAACAGCTCGTTACAATTTCAAAAGCAACTGGGAAGAGTTTGATCCATGTGCACCAGGCTCCTGCCCCTACAGGGACCTTCTAAAATAGAATCATCGAATCACAAAGGTTGGAAAAGACCTTAAGGATCATCAAGTCCAACCGTCAACCCAACGCCACCCAACCCACTAACCCATGTCCCGAAGCACCACATCTGCACGTTTCTTGAATCTCAGAGGGACACACATGGTGGAGGGAAAAGCATCTCACACAAACCACTTCTGGCAACTGGAAGGTTTCTAACACAGAGGCTTTTTGCAGGACAGCTTGGGGCTCCAGACCTTTTCCTTCACTAACTACCACCAAACCAACCCAGATTCGTTATACAAACCCCAGATGGCATCTTTTTAACCAAAACAACCAGAAGGAAAAATCCAAATCCCATCTTCTTTTCCAGGTACTTATATTTTGTTTACATGAAAACTGCTCTAATGCACAAAGTCACCCAGGTCTAAGCTCAACATAATTTATTCTTGGAGCTGTAATTAGTGGGAAACGACTGCCCGACCTCACCAGCTTTCACCAGCAGCGCATGTACGCTTGCGCGTTTATGGGAAATGACACTTCCTGCAGCACGGGACTGATCAAGATGTGACTCAATGAGACATTACAGTTTCTTCCTCAATCCCCCACACCAGTTCCCCCCCCAGGAGGGTGAAACAGCATCTGTGCTAACGAGAGATAAGCAGAAGAGCCAACGTACACAGACCTGGGCGGCGATGCCCGTCCCAGAGGAGCCTCCTTTCACATTTCCAGGCTCAGCCCTCTGCCAACGACAGGGAATGAGATCGACCTTGAAAACTCGACTCACTGCAGCGAGAATCTGCAAGCAGAGGGCATTCAACTCGAGTCCCTTTCCTGGCCAGGGCTGATAAACTCCCGTTGGATTTAGGAGCATGACCCCGCTGTGGGCTGTCTGCAAGCGCCCTGCACCGCAGCAGACACTTGTCCTATATTTAGTAAAAGCAATGTGGAGGCGTTTGTTTTCGAGATGAACACGTGCATCAACCGCAGCCTTTTTTTACAAGGGACATAAGCACATCCCGGGTGGTTCAGGCTGACCCGAAGCTGCTAGAAATGCAAATTGCTCGTGATGGGGTGCATGGAAACTCCATCCCAGGGGAAAGGCTTCAGCGCCCGGTGCGGGGTCAGGTCATGGCCCGGGAGGAGCGGGCTGGCTCTGCAGGAGGCTCTGCAGGGTGAACAAAAAGCAAATCTGCACTAAAGCAGGGAGCGAGCAGAGGTCAGATCCATGCTCTGACAGCTCTGGGCTGTGCCTTTTGGTGCTGCAGAGACAGGGGAACAAGCCTGGCCAGGGACTGCGGCACCTCGCAGGGCTCTTGCCAACAGCCCCAGCAGAAACGTTGCAAAATGGATTTCCTCCAGCCTTCCCCCAGCACAAGATCCGGCAGAGAACAAGGCGCTTCTCCGGAGAGCAG